AATTTTCCTACATTCTTCCAAAACACATACGTTGTAGGTTTTTCAGCAAAAAAACATACAATGTTGCTGTTTTCGTGGAACGCCCACAAAAAAACTTACAATGTTAGTTTTTCTTTGCAAAGCAACGACAACCATCAAACCAGTGCTCATTTTGGCAACCAAATTACTGAAGCTAGAAAGAAACATCAGAAATACTTTCTCTTTTTCATGAGCATGCATGGAAACTCAATTGTTGGTTCTTTGCAAAACCAACAATTGAACGAATCATGTTGAGGGTTCATGGGTTTTGCGCATGGAAATTCAATTGTTGGTTCTGTGCAAAACCAACAATTGAAGGAATCATGTGAAGGGTTCATGGGTATTTGAACAAAACCATTTTGTTTCAATCCCGGCGCATATGGTTGCTGGCAGATTAAGACCTAGCAAGGGTTGTCCATGACTCCATGACTCATGAACACCAACTTAAGTTTGGAAAGCAGCTAGTTTCTGTAGACAAAAGGCATTCAGGATGCAAGAGTTGGGCAAGTGAGTGCTGCAGTGGCCAACGCACAAGCAGAGCTGAAACATTAAAGAGAAGCAGCTGTAGGCAGGAACATGCGGTTTGCAACATATAGTCATGACATCTCATGGTCCTTGGAAGCCGTCGGCGATTGAAGCTGCTGACTTGCGCTTTGACACCTCGTGCCCCTTCTTGTTGCAATGCAGTTACATTGCTGTGCATGCATTCAGGGCCGCGAGCAGTGCTGGAGAGAGATCAGTGTGGTGCATAGCGCATGTGTTCGATGTTGTGTGTCGGTTATAAGAGGCCGCGTTCGGAAGTGTCCGCTTGCCGTGGATTTGTTTTCGGGCTCGAGGCCATGGAGGAAAAGCCCCCGCAGGATAAAGAGGAAAACCCGGGGAGTGGCAGGGGCGGCGGTGGTGGCAGTCCTGGGCGGTCAGACTCGTCTTTGTCCCCGACCAGTCCGGCGCAGTCGAAGTCTCGATCTCGATCTCGACCCAAGAGTTCCCGCTCGAGGTCGCGATCCAGGCGTCGTCGGTCCAGATCCCGCCGCTCGTCGAGGTCTCGTGGTTCTGCACGTGCTGCTCGCTCGCGCTCGAGATCCCAGACGTCTGTGGTCAGTGATAACGAGCTTCGGGAAGGCCTCAAGCAGCACTTTTACAGAACCGCTTTGCCGGCTGGACGACTTTACGCTCACGTTAAACCAAAGCCGGTAAAGTTCTTGTCTAAGCCGGTCCCACCTGGGAAGCTCTTGCCTGGAGTGTTTGCTGCGGCTGCTGCTGGCGCGGTTCCCAAGGTGAAAGCCAAATCGAAAGGGTTTGGCAAAATAAACCCGCCTCCCCCGCCGGCGCGATTGCCTCCAACTCCGCCCCCGGGTGTCGCGAAACCGGTTTTCCCTCCCCCCAGGCCAAAGCATCGCTAGGTTCCTACAGCACGAATGAAAACACAGCACGCCAACACAACAGTTCATGCTGTTACTTGTGTACATGTCCAAAGACAGATGCTGACAGTGCCTAATATATACGCAGGTTTGCAGTTCCTGAGCTAGATAGCTTTGGCTGGGGGTCATGGCTGCCTCTTCCTCGGATGCACCGCCTGCGGCTTCTTCGGCTGAAGCTTGTGCTGATGACGAGGCACATATTTCTCGCAGATCAATCGTGGTTTCAGACAAACATTTGCAGTGTGGGTTTGCTTCTTCCGGAGGTCGAATCTGATGTGATGGCCGACGGGTATGCGGGCTCCTCACGATGACTTGTTGCCAGTCTGCGGCCTCTGTTTTGCTGCTTTGCCTTCATGAGTGGGTGTCCTGAACCGAGACGGTCATGACGATGGTGAGTGAGATGAAGCCGCTCATGCTGAAAGCCACCAGATTCTTGTCTATTAATATGTCGTGAGGAATTGTGTGGCTCAGTGTCATGTCTTGTGTCTTCTCGTGCATTCGAGGTGCGGAGCAAATCTTCGAAGGCTGCCGCAGGTTTGCCAACCCGGACGAGCAGGTCCCCCTTGACTACATAAACGAGATGATGTTTCCGCTGCTGGATGCGCTCTTTGACAAGTTCCGTTTGCACCTCATAATTTTGTGCAGAGGTCGAGATATCTTCAAATCGTCGCTGCTTTCTGTGACGCTTCTCACCTCAGGCCTTGCAGCGTGGACCAGAACCCCGGCTCCGCGAATTTTTGACCAAGCCGAGCCTCGGATGCCAATTACATATTCGCATGACATGAAGCATATGACGTCATATGCTTCATGAGCATTGTCCTGAATCATGCAAGGTTGTGGTGGCGGCACCGAACTTGAGCCGCCTTGATCAGGCATTGATCGCAAGCCTCACGAGGCGCTCCTGCGCCAGGGTTCGAGCCCTGAAGACCCGGGCCCCGCCGATTGGCTCAATCATATATAGTTAACCAGCCTGCTTCGCACCGTGCCTGTGACCTATCTGAGGAGCAGCTACTTTCCGAAGCTGGATTTGCTGAAAGAAAAGTACCCTGGTTGCATGCATATGTTGGCCCTGGCGTGCAAACATTTTCGTAGTTTCAACCGAGGCTGCTTCCTTCGCCCGCGCGTGGCAAAAGCTCCTCCAAGGCGGAGGAAGACGAGCCAGAGGAGGCGGAGGATGAAGTGAACGAGCGACTCGGCCGTGGATGAACTGTGAGAGAGAGAGAGTCTGTGTGTACATGTGAGTCTACTGGTCCTCAATATGATCAACACTTCCTTGTCGAGTGTGAAGACATAAGACTCCTGTTGTTAAATGCATGCAAACTCCTTGGTTTTTAGGCCCTCTGTCAAGAGGATCAAGATCAAGGCTCGGATGGCAACCAGTCGTATTTGCTTTCGAAAGTGGAAGTGCGATTTGGAGTTTTTGCCTGTACAGGAGGCACAGCAGAATTACCAGAACATCTGCAAGGAAATCTTTGGCTATGCAGCTTATCTTGAATTTTGCATATTGCAATGGCCTCTGTGGCAACATGTCTGTGCTGCTTGTCGTGATCAACCTTGCCACTTTCGAGGGTCTGCTTGCTTCTTGAGAAATTTGAGTGGCAATTTCCTGTCGATGAGCTTACCTGAGAACCCTCCGTGTTTTTTAGGAGCCCTCTATAGCTTGGTTGTAATTTGTTCAAGACCAGGTACCCTTGACAATTGATGACTCCGAAGAGGAGCTCAACGACCTCGGCGTGGAGGCTGATGTAAGGGAGGAGAGGGCCTTCCTGAGCCCGCACGCACAAGTAGCAGAGCTGCAATTACAAACATTCGGAGCTTTGACATGATTGGGTGGCAGGATGACTTGCGTTTTTGGCTTTGTTGCTGTGGCTTAAATTGGCTTCGCTCCGTAAGGAGCCTGCGCAGCAAAAGGGCAAGCCCAAGGCAGCAGCTCAGCCGCCCGCCGCAAAGCCCGATGATGCGGGAAAGGATGGGGAAAGGGGGCCTGAGGCCGATGATGCGGGGAAGGATGGTGAAAGGGAGGATGCTCCCCGAGCGGAGAACGCTCCGCAGCATGAGCCTCCTGGCGAGAAGCCCAAGGTCGTATCGGGAATGGCGGCAGGAACGAACTTCGCCGGCAGATCCCCTCCCGGCACGTTCCCATGGTCTACAAGGTTCTCTGCCATAAAGCAGCTGTGGGTTGAGTGCCTTGCCTTGATTCAATATGCAACAAACACAGCATTGCATGCATTTCTGGATCGAGAACGATCGAATCTCGAACTCAGGCATATCCATCCGCAGATTAAGCCTGGCTGCTACGTGAAGTCTCAGGCTCGGGGATCTCGGTCTTTGGCAACATTTTAATCTCCACCCTCCACCCTCCACCCGCGAGGTGCACTTCTGGAAGTACATGATCGGAAACATAGACATGGCAGCCCCGGTCACCGAAGAAGACATCCGCAACCGCGCCAAGGATGTCCTGGGACTCTATGCTGTCCCTTGTGATCTCAAGAAACAGGACTAGGCCTGCGAAGCTTCACCCGGGAACCGCACAGGACAAAAACAAGTTTCTGCGCCTGCTCATGCATCACTTCCTTCCTGCTTGTGGTGAATTGCAGAGCCATATGCGTTCTTCGTGCTGATTTTCTCAGAAGTGAAGCCAGAATCCTCGCCAGGTACTTCTACAGATGAAGCCAGCACTCCTTCGAGAAAGCGGAGCCGGCCTTCAGAGAATGGTGCGACCAACCTGCTTAGTTGCTTTCGCAAAAGCTCGTTGCATGTCATTTGCGTTGCCTTTCAGTGCAGATCGGAGAGTGCATTGTACGTTGCTGAGTGCATGCCAACACATGAAGTTGTGCCGTGGCAAAAAGGCTCAACATTTCATGCGAGGCCCTTGCAAAGGGCCCCACACACAGGCTTTGTATCAAGTTCTGCTCTTACAAGGGCACATATAGGCAGCTGCTGGGTTCCGAAGCCAAACTGAAGTGTTCGTAGTGTTTCATACACAAGATGTTCCGGCTCCTGCTGGTCTTGGCCCTCTTCAGGAGCGATGGTTGCTGAAAGCAGTCGTGATACTTCTGATTCCCAGTCTGAAAACCAAGATGCCAAATGCCTGAGAGGACTGCCGATGCGTACCACCTCCTCATCGAGTCCATGGTTGAATTTGGGATCCCGAAACTCTTGATCCTGTGTTTGCTCCTTTTGCGTGGGCCCGAGAGCATCCCAAGCGCACGCACATCCAGAATGGCAGAATATCTAAATTAGTCGGAAACCCCGAGGATGTGGAACCGAGAAATTCCCACGACGGAAAAGTGGGATGCAATCGACCTGTTCTCCGGGACAGGTCGGGTCAAGGCCATCATTTGCATGGAGTGCTGTGCTGCTACAGATGGAGTAACCTCGTGACTTGTGTTGCAGGAATCCCTATTGGAACTGGGCTACAGTGTTGCCTCCCACGACATCGAGCACCACCCGGCGATGGATATCAACAGCTCGGCCGGCTTTGCGTGGAAACCCCAAACTAGCTGGCTTGGTAAGGGTTCTGTGCAAACACACTCTTATGAGATCACGTGTTTACAAAGGCTCATCCTGGCGAGCTTCTTGAGTTTGAAACGGTCTGGGCCAAGGTGGATCGTTTGGGTGTTAGAATGCAACCGTAGCAAATGCAATCTAATCGCTGTGTGTTGCAGGTTCGCGATGCTCCAGCCGGTTTGTTCCTCATGGGTCTGGATGAATCGCCACACCTCGCAGAGGAGCAGCTCTCGCGCAATTATACAGGTTGGAACACGCATCCTCAGACCACTTTCTGTTGTGTCGAGGTCGGGAGAATCCTTTGGGGCGAACCGAGCTACCAAATATTGCCGATGCAAACCGAATGGTTGCGAGGACTGCTGCTCTTGAGGTTGAACGGTGCTGCGTTAATTGGAAGTTTGCTGCAGGACTGCCCTGGTGATGCTTCTCATCCATTGGTGCCGTGGCGCTTGGATTCTGGAGCAGCCTGCAAGCTCCCTCATGCAGGAACATCCAGCCGTTGCTGCTGCCTTGCTGAAATGCCAGTACTTCAAGATCAATGCCTTCCTTGGGGCATACCGGCATTGGAGTTGGAAATTGTGTTCATTCTATTCGAACAAGCTCCTGGATTGCATCGCCTTTTGTTGCCGCACATGTCACATGTAACTCTTTGCCGCAAACCATAGACTCGTCATAAGGCTTTGGGTCGGAGGACTTTATCGGCCGTTCACCCTCCGTCGCAAGAAGCTCTCCGAGTCTCTTCGTGTGCGCCTTGGCCTGCCGAAACCCACTAAGCGCACCACTGATGGCAAAGTGACTGGGACCCGATCTTTGAAGACCACCCAGATGCACGGCACAATTATCGTGGTTGCAGAAGACACTATCCACATCACATGTGCTTCTCTGCTTTGATTCTTTTCGGGTGTTGTCGTCTGCCTGCCCTTGCTTAATTTGAGGAAGTATCCGCCAGCGCTGGCCAAGAAAATTGGACAACTGGTGTCCCGGCAGGCGCCCACAGAACCATGCATTCCGCTAGGTCCTTTCAGTCGTGAGGAAGAGTGCACAGGGTGGCTTGGCTCCACTATGAGAACACATGGAGCTTGTGCCTGTCGACTGTGTTTTGTTGCCCCAGTTTTGCTGGTTGCTGTCCAAGGTTTGAGTTCTTTTACAAAGCTGATGGCACAGTCGATCTTTGGGACGAGCAGGCCTACGATCCATTCTTGGATGTGCCTTGGTAAGTGTCGTTTAGCCTTAAAGATTCAATTCTTTGCCAATCGGCAATTGCTGCAATTATAGCTTGGATCTGGGCTGCTTCGTATCCCAGGCTCAGCTTTACCGGGTGGCCAAATATTTGGCCAGGAGCCGGTCTGTGCTGGTGCCAGGAGCCGGGTTCAGGACTGCACTGTGCATCATACATCCATTGTGGCATCCATCGGCAGATCTGCTGTGTTTTCTGCAATTCCGTGCAGGAAGCTTCTGAACGATGCCGATGTCTATGATGTATAGTCGGCTGTAGATGCACGAGGACCGGGACTGGAGGTCGCTTCCTGCTAAATGCTTTGTCGCCGCTCCAGCTGTTGCCTAGTGCTGTCTGCAACATCTCAACACGCATTGCATGCATGACAACATCACCTTCATCCCTGAACCTCAAACCCTAAACCCTAAAGTACACAGGCACACAAACCAGCACACACATGCACATACATGTATCTCTTTATATAGTTTATACATGCACACTCCACATATACCCACATGCATACATACAAGCATATATATCTCCATGCCATGCATGCATGCCACTCATCCAATGCATTATTCTTGAAGCCTCAGAGAATGCATTGGATCACGGCCGAATCAACTGATTCATGAGGGAGCTCCACTGATTCATAGAAAAATGATTCTATGCATCAGTTGGCCATGACGTGTGACATGNNTTGGTTACGTCCTGTCCGGTCCTTTGGCTTGTCCTGGGCTTATCAGTTTGGCTCTTGGATGCATGCACCGTAAAGCTGTTGTGGCTGCAGCATGTGTGTCTCTTGCTTTTGTTTTCGTTTTGTTGTACTGAAGTAGACTGACTTCTCATACCGACTGGGAACTTGATTGACCTGCCTTTTGCAAAAGCTTCGAAACATAGTGCTATATCATCTGTATGGGTATAACGATGTATCTTCATATTCGTGTTTACACACATACTACTTATACATGCATATATAGTATGTTACATATATATTTATATTTTGCCTATGTACTTACATATATGTAGATAGTATATGTAGATATGATATATACGTATATATATATATA